CAGTAGACCATCTTCTGCTACTTTGTCCGGTGGCCTCCTACCTATGGGGGGAAATCCTTTCTTTATTTTAGTCGGGTATGGTCACCCCTGAGTCTATCCTCAACTTACTCAAGCTCCCGGCCTCCTTACCTTGGCCAACGGCAGGCCGTCTCCTATGGAAGATAACTGTTGCGGCCACCATATGGTCAATCTGGAAGGAACGCAAATGCTAGGATAGTCCAAGGAAGCTTCGCCTCCCCACACAAAACTCTGGAGTTGATAAAGGCCCCGGTAGCTTTCTAGGCATCCAAAATCCCTCTCTTCAAGGGATTGGCAAGCCACAACTTCCGATAGAATTGGGCTTCCATTCTGTCTTTAAGATAGCCAAGGATATCTCGTTCCTCTCTATGCAGACTTCCCGAGAGAGGACTCATCAAGCACAATTTCAACGGCTCATCTTTGGGCAACCTAAGTCCGGCCGGAATAGGGGGATCTTCCGCGACCATCCAGGCATCACTCTCCTTTCTTTTGCATCCTCTATTCGGATCTCGGACTCCACGGAAGCAGAGGCACGTGCTCTCCTGGAAGGCCTTAGTCGCTTCGATCCAGCCTGGGGCTCCTCACTCATTATAAAAAGGGACTGCAAGAACGTTATTTTATGGGCATCCCGTTTGGCTTGCACCCCTTGGAGATTATGGCACATCTTTGATCAGATTTATATTCTATGCAGGCATACACAGGTCTCTTGGAGACATATTTGGAGGAAGGCCAACAAAACAGCAGACGAGCTAGTTGAACTTGGAGCAACGATGGAGTGAAGAGGACTGTCCTACATCTCTGCATCTTTTCTTTATGGACCTTTTCTTGTACCTTTTTGGGTTTTCTTTTAAGGGGACTCTGTTCGGTTCTCTGTTTTACTTTTGTGCTGGCTTATTTTCAGTTGTTTCTTCTAGCTGTTACCTTCCTCGGTGACTTTTGTACATCCGCTTGGGTGTTTGCTATGCTGTATCTTTCTCTACCATCAATACAAAGTCAATTTTTATTTCAAAAAAAGCAAATCTCAATAAGTGTACTTAGGAGACATAAGATGAAGACAATGGTCAGTGAGAAGAGGTCATATGATCAAGGTTTGAGGATGGATCAAATTAGTTAAAAAAGTGTCATATGGCCAGTTTTCCATGTTCTTCTTGCTTTCCCACTAGAAATGTCCATTATCATTACAAAATGAATAACTTAACCTATCCAGAAATGTTGAAGTTTCTTTCACTATTCTGAACATTTTCAATTTACTTTAGCATTTTATGCCATGTAAATAACACAAATGTTACAAGGTCTAGATTCAGAACGAAAATGCATTTACCGTACTCATATCACATGCCAAGCAAAGAATACTTGGAACCAAGCCTTTTCTTTAGCAAAGAATGCTTGGAACCAAGCCTTTTCTTTTTTCTTTTTCTTGGGTGGCAGGGAGGGGGGGAAAGAAATCATGTACCAGTTTAGTCCAATGTAAATGCATAATCCATCAGAAACTAGATGTATATAATTTCCATTAAAAATGGCAATATATACATCCAAAAACAAGGTGACAAATTGATCAGGGTAACAACAACAGGTTTTTCATCATTGTAGACAACTCAAAGATCAAATTTACAATATACACCGCATCCCCATCCTTGAGTTCTCCAAAAAACTAAAGATGTAAAGAACATAATCTTTTACTCTCTCATCAGGATGGTTCTGATACAGTATACATCACTGGCCGTCGCGCCAATATTCACAAGTACAAAAACAGAAAAAAAATCCCCAATGCCGTTGATTCTAATTAACATACAAATTCCCAAACAAGTACATTACAAGGAATAATAAAAGCAAAAGCAGTACCAGCTAGTTTTGCATCAATCCAAAGGTTAGCACTTAGCAGCTTTCTACATTACATATTGGGACCATAAACTATTAAGTTGTAAGGGCATAGTATTGCGTGCTCCTATCCAACATCCACTGCCCATACTTATCCTAGGATGGTGGAGATGGGTAACTGTTCCCCGTTTAAAATAAGGGCAGCCTTAAAAGTAGAAACAACCCATCATCTGCCAATCCCTGGAAAGATAAGGTCAGTGGATGTTCGATATGAGTACCCAACACAGTACTACGAAGTACAACATATCTTCCATTACATGATTTACATTGAGTAGTGGAGAAGAGAAGGAGCAACAAGAAACCAAACACAAGAATATAAAATATCATAAGATGTCGAAATCCCTAAGGGCTCTAATTATTGAGCACAAAAACAGATAGATGCCCTTGAATTCAAAGTCACATAGAATTCCTAAATATTACATACAAATTCCCAAGCAAGTCCATCACATGGAATGAACAAAAGCAAATTAATGACCACATAATTTTGCATCTAGAGGTTAGAATCCTTCTCTATTCTCCTAAAATATATATTCAGTGCAGAAACAAAGAGAAATAGAAGCCAGAATAACATGGATCTGAACATTGCAATTGAGCAAAATTTGACATACAATTTTTTTCCTTTTCAGTAGTGCGACTAAAGAGATTCAATGGTTATGAAGCCTGATGTAGAGGCATAAACTCATCATAAATTCTTGGTTTTTCTTTACTTTCCTCATAAATCCTAAGCAAATTTTCTGACTCTCCTCCAAAACTGAATACATATCTCTCCAAGAACGCCTTTTCTGATAGATAACAAACTGTCGATAAATTAACCTGTCTTAAGCAACTTTCTTGACCTCAACACTGTCAATAGTGAATTCCTAGGGATCACGCTCCCCTCTAAACTATGAACAAAGAGATGAGGACGCAAAACCAAAAAATTCTTATCGAACTTCAGTTCCTTCACCCAATAAGCCATGGTCTTCTGCAACTTCTCCTCAGAGATTCCAAAATCAAAGGTTTCTTTCGAAAAGAAGCCAGAACATCCTCTTTTGACCACCCAAAAGTCTTAAACAATTCAATCTTCCTCTGCCAAGTCTTGTTACTCATTGAACTCATGATCGCCACTACATGAGGATATATTTTAGAGCCAGGATCAATGCCCAATTTCTTAACTTTCTCTGTGAGTTGCTTAAGCCTGCTAGGCTCCTGATCAAGTAACTTTGGTCTACTCAGTAAGAGCGCCGTCATCTTCGAGCCCTTAAATCCCTGGCTCTCCATGAACCTTATATTGGGCAGCTTTCTCTTATCAACATCATACAAAAAAGTTAAAACTACATTTGAGAAAGTTTAGGATATCTTCATTGCTGTGCAAGTGGTTCTTCATGAAGTCAATCTTGGGGATAATCCCTTTCTCCACGCTATACGTGAGAACAGTTGGATATTTAGAGAGGAAGTCACCAGGATCGGATCTAGAAAGACCCAAAATACCATTGACGAGTCGCCTAAGTAACTCGTCTCGGACAAGGGCCGAGTACCTTGACCAAGCTGAGTCCCGTAACACTTTCTACACTGTTTCTAAGGTTGGTAAAGAGGTCACACCCCCAAAATTTGTTGACAGAATACCACTCTACACAGGGCTTTATGAGAGGGACTGAGAAGCATGTAAATCTTTTTGCAAAAAAAGCAAAAGCAAAAATGTATATATGTTTGAGGATTACTTGTTTTCCAGAATATGGCTAAAGCAAAAGCAAATATATATATATATGTAATGAGATTGATTAGGTTCAAACCTCCCCTGCAAACCAAGCAAAGTAACCAAAGAAAGTTTTCGTTTGGTTTGTAATGAGATTGATTGGTTCCAAATCTCCCCTGCAAACCAAGCAAAGTAACCAAAGAAAGTTTTTGTTTTCATGGGAGCTACAATGGTCTTTATTTATTTTTTTGGATAATTCAGTGGGGAAGATAGGCTAATTTGGGAGTTACAATGGTCTTTATTTATTTTTTTGGATAATTCAGTGGGGAAGACAGGCTACTTGTTTTTTCAAGTAGATTAGAAGTTAGATATTTTAAGGTGTCAGTGCAGTAATGTTATTGGTAGGAATGAAAACCACAATGTGGTGACTAGATATGAGGATGCTACCACCACGACCCCAGCCCCTTTCTTCTTTATAATGGTCTTTATAATTGCAATAAGTGCAGCCTCCTACCATATATACCACATTTATTCGATTATGTTATGGGAAAGCCTTATCCACAGTTGAAATTTGATGGTTGGGGTGATCTGTTTATTAGTACAGTAAATTCACTGCTCTCCTTATATTCGAAAGCTCATATTATAATGCTGGAAAAGCAATTGGTTCGTTGGGGGCCGCACTTCTACAATTGATCAGGGTAACAACAATAGGTTTTTCATCATTGTGGACAACTCAAAGATAAAATTTAAAATTTACACCACATCCCTATCTTTGAGTTCTGCAAAAAACTACAGATGTTAAAGAACATAATCTTTTACTCTCTTATCTGGATGGTTACTGACACGGGATACATCACTGGCTCAAATTCATAGTATAAAAACAAAGGAAAAATCCCAAACGCTATTGATTCAAATTAACATACAAATTCCCAACCAAGTTAAGTACTGTACAAGGAATAATAAAAGTAAAAGCAGTACCAGCTAGATTTGCATTAGTCCAAAGGTTAGCACTTAGCAGCCTTCCACATTACAATGGGACCATATACTATAAGTGTTCAGGCGCATAGCATTGGGTGCTCATATCCCGCATCCACTGCCCATACTTATCGTAGGACACTAGAGAAGAGTAACTGTTCCCTATTTACAATGTGGGCGGGCTTAAAAGCATAAACAACCCATCATCTGCCAATCCACGGAAAGGTAAGGGCACTCAATGTTCGATATGAGTACCCAACATGGTATTCTTATGAATTATAATATACTTTTTCATTACATGATCTACATTGAGTAGTGGAGAAAAGAAGGAGAAACAGGAAACCAAGAAAAAAAACAAGAATCTAAAATATCATAAGACACTGAAATCCCTGAGGGCACTAACTGTTGAGCACAAAAACAGAAAGATGAATAGTCATCGGCACAATTGAATTGAAAGTTAAATAATATTCCAAAATGTTACCGACCCCAAATAATTGGGATAAGGCTCGGATGACAATGATACAATTTCAAAATGTTACATAAAAATTTCCAAGTTTGTATGTCACAGGGAATGAACGAAAGCAAAATCATGACCAACTAATTTTGCATCTGTCTAGAGGTTAGGATCCTTCTGTATTCTCCTAATATTATCATACAATGCAGAAACAAAGAGAAACAGAAGCCAAAATAACATGGATTTGAACATTGCAATTGAGCAAAATTTGACATACGAACTTTTTCCTTTTCAGTAGCACGACCAAAGAAGATTCAATGGTTATGAAGCCTGATATAGATGCATAAACTCATCGATAATTCTTGGGTTTTCTTTACTTTCCTTATATATCTTGAGCAAATTTTCTGACTCTCCTCCAAACCTCAACACATATCTCTCCAAGAACACCTTCTCTGATAACAAACAAACCGTTGATAACCTCACATCCATCTTAAGCAACTTTCTTGACCTCAACACTGTCAAAAGATTATGCCTAGGGATCACTCTTCCCTCTAAACTAAAAGCTAAGAGATGAGGATGCAAAACCAAATAATTCTTATCGAACTTCAGTTCCTTCACCAAATAAGCCATGGCCTTCTGCAACTTCTCCACAGAGAGAGCCACAACCGCAGGCAACTTTCGGAAAGCAGTAAGAATATCTTCTTCTGACCACCCAAAAGTCTTGAAGAACTCAATCTTCCTTTGCCAAGTCCCATTACTCATCGAACTCATGATCCCCAACACGTGACGATACATTTTAGAGCCAGGATCAATGCCCAATTCCTTAACTTTCTCTGTGATTTGCTTAAGCCGGCTAGGATTCTGATCGAGTAACCTCGGTCTACTCAATAAAAGCGCCGTCAAGTTTGAGCCCTCAACTCCCTGGCTCTCCATGAACTTTATATTGGGCAGCATTCTCTTATCAACATCATACCCAAAAGCTGAATTAGATTTGAGAACGCTTAAAATATTCTCATTGCTGTGCAAGTACTTCTTGATGAAGTCTATATTAGGGATAGCCCTTTTCTCCGTGTTATATGAAAGAATACCTGGATTTTTAGAGAGGAAGCCACCAAGATCAGATCCAGAAAGACCCAAATCTTGGAAGAATTTGAATTTGGGTTTTAGGGTGTTGTCGACATCAGTTGCGAGGATCAGGGGGCGCTTTCTGATGATATTATGGATATGGGTTTCTTGGAAACCATTGGCCTTGAGGAAGTCCAGCACAGATATAAGCTTCTCAGGAGTTTTAAGATGGAGGAGCTTGGAAGATGCAGCAATGGCAGATTCCTTTGGAAGCCCAACAATATCTACGAGGAAACTAACCATGAAAGGAGGAGAAGAAGAAGTAATGCCTATGGTATAAGCTGCGAGAGAAGAAGAAGAGAGAGAGAAGGCTTTTGTGGAGAAATGAAGAGGAAAAGGAATAGCCCTACAAAGGACACAGTAGAGTCTAAAGAGAGATTGAGGTTTTGCCAAAGCCATGATTTTAAAATTGAAGGGCACCCCACCTCAAAGATATCAACTTTGAAAAGTTTAAAAGAAAAAGATACACTAATTTTTGGGAACAGAAAATCACTGCCATTTAACCCATAATCAAAAGAGAAACCATTGGTTTTTGCTAAAGAAAGAGAGAGGAACTTACCAAGTTGTGTGAGTAATGGGAGGGTCAGCAGCTCCTTTCTCTCACCTCTTTATCTCTCCTCCGGGGAACGAGCGGAAGACCCAAGGACCTAAGGACTCGGATGCGCTTTTAGGAATATATAATCATTAATGTGAAAAAATAAATGGATTTTAAAATTAAAAATGATACTTTTATAAATAAATAAATAAATATTAGGATTTATTTTATTTTTTCCAGGCACAGCCTATTTACATCCATCTTTGGTATGGATGTTTTATGATTGCAGCCTCTAAAAGACTATTCCATTATAAAAAAAGGAAAATTGTTCCACGCGAGGCTGGATCTCGTATGCGGTCCAGAAAGCGTAAAGATGAGATGCAAGTAGGTATTTCATCTAAAAACAAAAAAACCTCATGATACAAATATTTTTTTACTAGAATTGTTATTTTTAGTTTTAAAATTTATTTATTTTTTCATATTCATGGTCTCCATGTTAGAGGTTACATGTTTTTAAAAATTAAGTCTTAAAATCTATATCAAAAATATTTTAAAATTTTAAAATTTATTTATTTTTTCATATTCATGATCTTGATCTCTACGTTTGAGATTACATGCCTTAAAAAATTAAGTCTTAAAATCTATCTCAAAAATAGATTTATTACGAAGCCCACATTTCTACATATGCCAGTTTAGCCACATAGAAACCGGGTCCTCATAACAACCCATAAACAAATATTAAAGAACCTACTTTTCCATCTTTGAAAAAAAAGCTGGAATATTGAAACACCTCACGCCATCCACCCCAATCAAGGGTTAAACAAAAGGAAAAAGATCATATGAGCCCAGCTCCACAGGGCTACGGAATGGCATAGGCTTGAAGGTCCACATTGATGTTTACATAAGTGAACGATCCATATCGTGTTTTACAAAATCTTTTTTGGTGAATCAATGGGGAAGATGACCCCTACCTATTTTCTATTAAAATAGAAAAATAGTCATTGAATCCTTTTGGAAGGGAAGATATGCCATATCAGAAATCAAAAGTATAGAAATAGAATCTAGTTGAGGAGCTCTTTTTCCAAGAAAATACATGTTTGATGGACTCGAAATATTATCCATAAACGCATCATCTAGGCACTCCAAATAAAAGATAAAATAAAAAATATATGCATTAAAAAAGTGGGCCAAAATATATTTCACAATTTTTGTGAATGTAGGCCATATAGATTGCCTCTTGTTGTACAATTTTGGTGAATGTAGGCCACATAGCGCTCACAGAACCACTATCTTCAAGAAAAATAGAAGTGACAAATTCCAAGATTTTGGTAACAATTCTTACAGCCAGTGAAAATGGAGCAATATGATCATTTCTCCATCTGCCTGCTGAAAGAAGGCATGCTTTACAGTGGCATACATTATTTTCTCTGATTTCAAATCAGAGAGCCTAATAGGCGTGGATTTGGAGATTTCAAGCTTCTCTTGAGAGATCAAGGTCGGCCTCTCGGCCTTCGAGGCTGCCTGCTTTCTTGATGTTGTATGCCTTCTCACTTATGTGCTTCAAATCCTTAAATTGAAATGCGACTTAGTTAAGGTAAATGGCCCCTTGTTGCTCCTTCAAAGATTTGCATGCATGGGCCATAATGGGTACATTGACTATGCCAAGAGTATAAGAGGTTGCCTGTCTCCATTTTCATGGAGCCCATTGTAGTTTTGCTGGTTCGAGTCCCTCTTCACTGTGGAAAGGGACCAAGCTTCCATTAATGGTGAAAAGTGAAAAGTATTGCTTCCTTCTTCTGGTCCACATAAGCCATGAGCTTTTTCTGGCTGAGCGCATCATCCACCTCCTTATAGGCAATTGGGCCATTGGAGGCTGTCATAGAACCATGTTCGTCTGTGATTTCGAGTGCAAACCACCTGTGAGCCCCATGGTTATCTCTTTGTTCTTCAGGAGAGCACACATGGTACTTTGCTGCCTCCTCCGCTCCTCTGTGGTCATCTCTTGCTTATCTTACATCAACGAGGTTTTAGATTAATCCCAACTGAATTTTTCACCTCGACCTTTGGATCTAGCCTCTCTTCTTCGTCAAAGTAAGAGGAGAGATCTTTAAATGCCTTTGGGCAAGTAGAGGTCGTGAGTTCAGATGCAATCTCCCAACAATTACAGTGTTGGCGAGCAAGAGAGAGAAGGTTCAATCCTGCAGTCACAGGTCAGATCCTTAAACCCTTGAAACTCAATCAAAATGTTAAATATCATCCCCTATTTTGCCGCCTATTCCCTCTTCGTATTCAAGCCCAGACTCTTGAAATTCAAGATTCAAGACCCGTTCCAAGGCCCACCAATTTGGTCCAATTCGAAAACAATTCAGGGCCTTTTCCATTACCACCATTCAATCCCCCTATTGCTTCTTCTTGGGCCTTCAAAATCACACTATAAGCCTTGCTTTGAACTTTGAACCTTATCAGCATCAATCATATGCTCACAATGGTAAGACCCGTAGCTATTGCATCATGGCCCTATAACACAAACGGTCACATTTATAGCATCATAACAAATGTGGTCATAGTATACATGAGGTGCATGGTCTAAGGTCAAATTTCCCTCCACTTTAAAAGATGTGTGGGGAACAAACAACAAATATCCACATTCTTAGGCTCCACATTCTTCCCCTTAAAAGACTTTCAGGGATCTAAAACAGCATCAATGAATAATAGGAAACCTTCTACATGATAACAACAAGATTTGGCACCAAACGGTACTTGAACTCAGATCTGCTAAAGACAGAAGCTTTCTGCCTTTCTTCACGCTCTTAATTTTGTTTTCTTGCTTGCGTGCTACGAGCTCTGAGAACCCTGTGGTCACGTTCTTAAGCTAAAATCCATTGCTCTGAGCTTTTCCCCATGTTTAAGTAAGATTCCTTCTCCAACAAGCTTTTCTGCAATATATGTCCAACGATCATCATCTCACATTTTGGTTCGGCCTTGATCGCCTGCATAATCTCTTCTATTTGGGCTAACCCATCTTCATTTCTCACCTTATGGAGCAAAACCACCAAATCTAACGCAACTTTGCAGGCTCGTTTAGAGTTTCAAGGAATTTTTGCCTTCTTTCAACTAGAAAGGAAGTTGATTTCTTTTGGGGGTGAAGACCCCGATTGTTTCCTGGAACTAATCAGCAAGAATCCAAATGTTAAGGGCTGAGGATTTGAGTCATCAAAGGTCATTAGAGGAAGGTATCTTGGACGTTGCAATGAACCAAAAGACAACCATGATCCTCGTTCCAGCTTGAGCCTTCAATCTTTGAGAGAAACACTAAAATCTCTATACTCTCTCAGCACCATTCCAAAATAGAGTAATACATAGATTTATTTTCCACTATTTTCTCTAATAGTAACTTGGTCTCCAAATATGAAGAAAAATGACATGGACCTGCTTGGTTGTGCAACAGGCTGAATTAAGTTGTCAACAATTAGTATCTTTGAATACATTATAAAACCAATTCTAAGGCATAATCATCCATTCCAAAATAACAACTTCCTTGTAAGATCCCACCAAATAATAGAGGGTTTGGAATCTATGAAACCGCTGTTAAAGGTCAAGATCCAGTGATTACAATCTTAGGCTCAAAACCATCAGATGTTGAAATTGGGGATCAACTCAAGATCCTGAAATAGACCCTCCACTACTGCCACTAAGAGGGAAGTCAAGGGGAGCATTTTTAGGACTTTTTCTTGTATTTTTTCATTGGAAAACATCTTATGCCACTTCAAATATCCCTTTTGTTCCATAGAGCTTTGCAAAGTGTAAAGCCTTGGAAGAGAAGTGTTGGGTTATTTGTCCCAAGACATGGCAGAGGGAAACCTTGTTTAAATATGTGATATCCTCTTCATTTGTCTTGTAAGAACCAAAAAGAGAGAAGGCCTATTTTGGGCATGCGAGGGCGCTTGATGATGCATTTTGCACGAGGCGTCCAAGCACGTGTGCAGGTCAGCTTTGTGGCTCATCTAACTTTTTACCACTACACAAAATGCCTCCTGTAGAATATGTACTCTAGTGGATTGGTGGTCGAGCGCGTTCCAATAAATTTGGCTTTGGTAGTTTGGTGCACACCAGTGAATACACTTATATGAAGCATGTCCTCCAGTGGATTGGTCTGCTCTGTCATTTGTGCCGCTCTAGTAATGCATGATGGTTACTTTATTGGAACCCAAAAGACATTTTGTGATTGTGGGCACATGCATGAATATTGCATCAGTTAATTTCCTGGAACCTGAAGGTTCACCGTGTGACTGTCGGATATCATGTTGCACGTCGTTGCAGCAGATGCGCGGCACTGACAACCGAGATTTCATGAAACACAAATCATGACTTATATGTACTTGAACAGTCACGTGTAGTAGGTGAAAAGGCATTTTATCTCACTATAAATAGAGACATCTTTCCTCATATTTCAATAACAAGCTTAAATTCTAAGTTTTCTTATTGTCACTTTCTATATCTAGAATAGAGGCAACTCCAGTATTCTCGACTCTAGTATATCTGCATTAGTAAGTTAGTTTCTCAATCCTCTGTTCTCATGCATCACGAGGAGAAATTGGCCTGGTAAAAACACTTAGATGTACACTGATTCTTATAAGTAACGGACAAATGTTTTCTTGAGAAAGTGATTTATTGGGCCTGAGATTAGAGAGATTGAAGCTTCCTAACTTCATTTATCTTTTATTTTGCTCCGTTTGACTCAACATATCCAACATTTCTTTCTTGAGATCCTTGATTATAAGAGCTAGCATGGACGGACGGGTGATAGTGCTCAAGTTTGCTCATTTCAATTTTTTAGAGCATAAATGAGATCTACATGTGCTCAAAATTTATGGTTCATTGCATCCCTTCATTTTCAAAATCCTAATGTTACTTTTCATAAAAAAAATTCCAAATCATATAGAGACCCTCCAATTTATGGTAGGTGAGATGAGATCTAATCAGAGAGAACTCAAAATCCAAGATTTTTCTTTTGAAAATAACATTTAGATTCTTAAGTGATTCCCAATCAAAAATATCCTCCCAATTAAATCTACTGTCTGA